TTGGAGCAGACTTGAACCCATTACAGTCTCAAAATCAATGTTCGTGATTGAAAGTCTTTCAAAATGTTTTTTCAATGATATTATTATTTTCAATGACAATTAACGTTAAAAATATTTAATATTAGTTGCTATAACAATGTTGTCTGCACCGCATTACCCAACCTTAAACGAATTCGCAGTACGTATCGCAGGAACATTCAAAGAATCAGTACCTTAAACGAATTCGCAGTACGTATCGCAGGAATATTCAAAGAATCAGTACAAAAAGAATATCGAATAAAACCTCTCAATTACTGAGAGGTCAATTACTGGCTTTATTGAGTTATTAACGTTTATAAATATAGATTTTAAGCAGTCAATAAAATTATTTTAATATAAAAATGATTTTACTACAAATAACAGATAGACATTTTTGTCTTAGACGTCTTTTGTTTTGCACGTCTTTCAAAAAAGGATTTTTATTAAACTCAGTTTGTAAAACAGTGTCTGTTTTTGAGTTACATTTCAAAAGTCCATATTTTTGACAAGTAAGGAGAGGAATTTGAGAGTAGATGTTTAAGGTAAAAATGTTGATTTATTCATTTGTATTATGACACAAAGTGGGATATTTTTTAAAATCAGTGTGGAACACTGGAATATGACTGAGTCAGAAATGGTCAACTATTCGTAGTAAGTTTTGTGAAGATGCGAAATTCGTATCTCTTAAAATTAAATTTGTTTATAAAACCTCTTAAGATTTATTGAACATTTGAGCTCAATTGCCTCAAATTAACCTAAAACTGTCAAAAATGAGTTTAATATCGCATAGCATTATTAGTCCTAGACATTTTCAAAAGAGTTTTTGTCATTTGAAAGTCTTGACATCTGATTCAAAAAATTAATTGTTTCAGATTTAGTATGAAAATCTTACTATATCACATTCAAAGGATTAGAATAGTCAGCTCTCGAGTAGTGAGTACTTGATGTCTTCTAATTACCCAAAAGAAGTGTGAAAATTGTAATATTTATCATTCAAGTATTATAAACCTCTTGACAAGATACTTGGTAACTTCTAATTAGTCAGAAAAATTGCAAAAATCCTAATATATTCAATTCAAAGGATTAAAAACCTTTGGACATGATATTCGGTGACTTCTAAATAACCAGAAATATTGCTTGATATCTTGATGTCTTCTAATAAGCCAGTAAAAGTATAAAAATCCTAATATATTTCATATAAAATATTAAAAACCTCTTGACACGATACTTAGTGTTTTTAAATCACACTTAAATAGTTTAAGAGCATTAATATACTACATTCAAAGGATTAGGAACCTCTTGACATGAAAGTTGGTACCTTCTAATTAGCCCGATTTATTAAAATGATTAAAAATAACTTATTAATAATACATTAAAAAAGAAAGTTTATTTGTGAAAAGTTTTTTTGTGTCAGGCGAAATAAGTTTGAAAATAATTTTGAATTTTTAATACCAATTTCAACTATAAATTTTAACAAATAATTGTCAAAAAATGTTTATGTAAAAAACAGAACAAAAACTATGCAATAAAAAGCAAATATGGAGAAAATAATCACAAATGACCAAAACTTTTATAAAAGCAACCGCAAACCATGAAAACAGCGTGAAACTTTTGTCATTAGAAAACGATGGTCATTAGTGCCTCAAAGTCACACTGGCATTCACACTCCGCATGGAGTTAAATAGAATACTTATTCACACCAAGGCATAAATACCAAACGGCAAACCTGCAATCCGACAGACCAAAATTTAAGCGAATCATGTGAAAGTGTCGCCTGCTGAGTATCTGAACTGAGTACCCCGAACACTGTTCGAATGAGAAAAGGCCAGAAACACCAAACTTCATAGAACAGACAAATTCACATTTGCTGATTACGAAAAAAACGAGAATAACCAAAAAGGATCAAAAAGATATTAAAAGGAAAAACTTTTTAAAATAGCAAAATATATTTGCCAATATTTGAAATGGAAAATTTATAGGAAAATGTCGGGAATTTACGATTGCATATACACCCACATTAGCACTCACAGTTGAGACCTTCATTAATTTCGATTTTATTTAATTTTATTTCAATTTTCAGCTATTTTAGGTTTGCTCTCATTAAAGAAAATATACGTGATATGTCAACACCACAGTGTGCCTTCATATAATTAATGTGTTAGGATATGTATTGCAGTAGAAATGAACAGAAAAACTAAAAACAAAATCCACATGAAAATGAAAAAAAAATAAACTAATAAGTTTAATTAAAATGTGAGTTCACATTTCATTTATTGTCTTTAATTTCCACATACAACAGTTTTGGTGCCTCATCCTCTCAACCGGCCCAATCCATAAAGCAGCTTCTGCTCCGCTCACTACTTGTACTGCGCCATATGACACTCAGAGCCACTTCTAGCAAAGATTAATGTGCATTTGCAATGCGACTCTGAGCACGACCGCTTGCAATTGCAAACGGAAACCGTTGCAGTCGTAGTTGGAAAAGTTGTAGCTGCTAACAAAACGCCCACGAACCGGAAATGAAACACTTCCTGCCAGTAACGATGCTGTTGCTGCAATGCCTATACTGCATACCGTCACTGCTCACTGTTTATATGGATGTGCGTTTTCGTCCTCACTGACAGTACGGTCTGGCTGTACTTATGTTTGAACGCCTACTCCGCGTGTTTACTTATTGACTCTTTGGAGGCACATACACTGACACGGCTTAAGACCCATAGTTATCATTAAGAATTGTAAATATTGCAAATTTTTTTTCTTTGTTTTTTTTTTTTTTGATTTTTATTTTGCCATAGTTTTTAATTTCCAAACGACAAAACGTCTATTTGACTTCTAACACTTCAACCTAAACGTGCAGTGCAAATAGAGACAAACACAGGCCACCATACAGACGACTGTTAGCTACCGCTTCTTACTGGCTTTGATCGCTTACTTACTTATTACTGCTGCAATTGTTATACCCGCCAGCACCCGCGAGCGCCACTTTAGTCACAGCTTGTCTTTCCGTTTTAAAAATCCACTCAGTGTGATTTCATATTGCCGCTGCAGTTACAGTTACACTTCCGTTTGCTGCACTTAATTTATGGCTTAGTGAAAAATAGCGACAGATTCACTATTCTTCCACTTCTACCACTTTTCCACAATTCGCTTTTCCTATTTTTTTCCATCTCAAAAAGAAAAATATGAAATAAAATGGAAAATTATATCTATGTCTCCTTAAGTCCGTCAGTAGCAGAAATCGCCCGGCGTAGCAGCCAAACAGTATGACCCGAAGAAGGACATGCACTTCCGGTTGCAGTTGGTAGTGTTTAAAAATTTATCATGAAATGAAATGCGGTCTGCATGTGCGGCTATCCTGGCAGTCATTTGTAGGTAACTTTGTGGTGGTTAGTGTGATTCTCAGGGCCACTTCGAATGGATTTAAAATATAACACCGCCGAAAACATCGACAACTACAATAATTTCGACTTTTATCTTCTTCAACAATGAAAATGCAACAAAAATTTGTGTCAAACTTCTAAATTACGTTTAAGTAACAATTTGGATTATAAAATATAAAGAATGTACTAATGAATACTGTGAACTTCGACTGATAAGCGATTAATAATAATACACACAAGTACATATTACTTATCATATATATAGTACGTAGAGTACTAATACTACTTAAAATTATTAAGAAAAATATAACAAAAAATTAATAAACAGTTAAAATAAATTTTATAATAGTTATGGAGTTACCCTTTTTTAGTAATATTTCTATTTTTTAATGCCTCAGTAAAACCATGAAAAAATGCGTCTTATACATTATCATAGTTATGATAGTACACGGTACAGAGCAGGAAGTAAAATAAACATTTTTTTTTTTTTTTGCAATAGCTGGAAAGCATCCAAACCCAGTAAAACCACTTCTTCGGAACGAATGGAGAAGATTTCCACAGCCATGTGAAAACTTCACTCCAGTAACCAAGGGAGAGAGATGAGAGTAGATATGCTAATACCTAGCGAACTAAGTTCTAAGCCAGACAGCAAGGTCGTGAAATAAGGAGATTAGGGGTTAGTGAAGAGTGTTTAACTAACGGTAAGCTTTGTGACCAGGGTCACGAATGTCGCTGTTATACAGGTAGATGAAAGACATGGGTTCGTCAAAATCAAAATTCTTTTTGCTTTCAATGCAAATTAACAAATCGAGAGTGAGAGAAAAAACAATATATCTGTTCAAAATCGTTCATGGGAAATGAGTCTATTTGTGTCTCATCCGTTAGTCGAAACAGTGTTATTTAGTAATTAATGTCGGAATTCACGTCCTTTAGAAGAAATTACCTTAATTTTAATACATTTTGAAAAACAAAATTCTAGGAAGCTAGGATATGACACTGTGAGTAACATGCAATTTAGCTCTTACCCAAAGGACACAATTTTGACGAGCATAACATGTAGGGGCCATGGTCGTAGACCATATATATATAGTCACATCAAATAAAAGATTGTTGTCGTTTTCATTAATAAATAAAAAATTGAGAAAAAGCGAAATTGCGATTAAAATTTTAATTTTACATAGTTATGTTGGACAAAACCGTGCTGCTAAGTAAGAAATATCGGAATTCATTTCTATTAGAAGAAAATATATGTATTTTGTGTGGATGTCTAAACCTATCCACACACAAAAAAAAAACACTTTTAATATTAAAGCACAAATAAAAACAATCAAAAGTTAACAATAAAAAATTAACAATTTTAAAATGGATCCCTATATAGCATACCTCTTGGTCATGACCAAAAAGAGCTTAAAACTGACGTGACGATTCTTCATATGACAGTCTATGTAACGTAGCCAATAACTTGGAATCAAGTACTTTTGATGTATGCATTTAAAATTTTTGAATAATTTATTTAAAAAAACCAAGTTAGCAGTTATTTAATTCAAATTTTAGATATCAAATATTAGAAAAAAAAATGAAATGTTTTTTGGATTCGTGCAAAGTTCGTTTTAAATAACTGTGTTGCACCTGTTTACTTATATTGGTCTTCTTAAAATTTTAGTGTATCAACCAAAATATTTCTTTTCATATATTCTCCACTTTCAAATCTCAAAGTTTTGAAAAGTTACGCACCTAGAGAAAGTAATAAGACTAAACGGTGGAAGTGAAGTGAAGTGAACTGAAACTGGCATTTATAAAGTGGTAAGTACCAACTCATGAATTGTCTATATATCTATTATATATCAAAACACTAAGATATTATTACAAGTGTTATTAAATTGACTTATTGGTCCAGAAAACAAAAAAAATATGATATAGTAAGGAGGTATTCAATTTCAATATATACCAAGTTATAATGCATCAAAGATAAATGTACCCAAAATTCTTTGCTCTAGGAAACGAAAAACATCGTATGAGTGGGGTACCCGTTCTCAACACATACCGAGATATGATGCGTGAAAAAAAAAAACAATACCAAAAAAAGAGAAGCATGCTTATTATTCATAAATCAAGTCCTTTTTTTTTTTCTTTTTTTTTTTTTAAAATAGGCTATTTGTGCACCCCGACCTAAAAGATCTATTGTGCGCCTATAGGCCCAACTAGGACAATTTTAGACTATTTATAAATCTTATAATTGCAGTGGGCTTAATTTTACCTATTTGATTTGGGACCAGGATCCCGCTACCAAGGTAATCGGGTCTACGTCTTGCCACCGCTGGGCAGTCCTTATTAGTCCTTATCAAGTCCTTATTATCGGCAAAATATTTGTTGTTAAGTAGTTTTTCCATCTCTCATCAATTATCGTTCTCCTACAACTTTCTTTTAGAATCCACTACCAAATGATTTTTATATTGAAAATACACATATATATGAATTATTACTTATATTCACTTGAGAAATTGGTTTCATAAACATACGTTGAACTTACACAGAATGTATGTCCCTGCTCGAAGTTTTGTACCTAAATATAAATTTCACATAAGTGAAATCCCATTTTTGTAGGACTAAACTAGAATTATATTACTAACCATATGTAAGGATAAGCAATAAGAAAACATGAAACCTAAAATCTATTTACAGACACCTTAAAGTATCAGCATTGATAAGGACGATCCAGGCTTTTTGATGTATAATAACACTTCAACTTAAAACTAATAGCATCTCTAAAATAATAAGTGTATGAAACAGTCAGTTTTAGATTCTCGTAATAGGCTCATTCCTGATACCTTAGTTCCCGAAAAATCTAATACCACCAAACATCAACAATTTATGTGCTAACAATATATTATATGTATATCTTTAATCTCGATAAATATAACATTACCTCTCATCAAAGTGTCTAATAGATTCTCCGTATATATGTAACTCTATGTAGGCAACTTAAGCCCCAATCCTTACTTAATTTCGGATATAGATCTGAAACATTACCACTTAGTTAGCCTCTTAATCAAGCAAAAAAATTCAAGCAAAACAATGCCAACCTCGAATGTAAATGTACAATAATTCACTAGAAAAGCAAGGAATAAATAAATTTATAAATAATTAATATATAAAAATAATATAAGAATTTTTTTTTAATCCCAGAGTACACAATTTTTAAAAACTTAAGATATTCTAAACGAGATTATCGTAATAATAACGTTATATATAGGGAGCGCTACTACTATATCCAAACTATTTGGGTAAATCTTTAAGAGGTCCGGTACACAAATAGCACTCCATGTAACGACTGCGATTTCTGCATAGAGCTTCATAGTCAAGCCAATTTTTATATCTCAGAATTTTCCATTTCTTTACCTAATTTAGCCTCAACTGAACATTTTGAAGGAGCGGTAAATGAACGACGATACTTATCCAAACTGTTTATATGTTAGTAAAAAATATAAAGAACCGCGTAAAGACAAATAATATCTATTTTATTTTTATAACAAAAAAAATTTTAAAAATGTTAATGAAAATGCAATTAGGTAAGTAGGTACTAGAACGACGTAACTAACAATTTGGAAATAATTCTTTATAGACCAAATAAATAGTCATAGTTAAATTCATCACACCTATTGAAAGTCCTTCTAATAACTTAAATCCAATTTTCATGGCACTCTTCTGAATAATTATCTATGCTATAGATAAGTGTAATTTGTATAGTAGAGCGCCCAGTTATAGACTCGAGGTTTATATCACTTTTACTTTTGTTAACATTACTTTAGTAAATTTGCCTTCCACAAGCACAACAAAATCCATTCATAAATACTTCCCTTCGATTTTAAATCAAATTATCATAAAATATATGCATTTATTTCTGAAACACATTTACTAGAGATCTTCCAAGTCTAAAGCACTGTTGGTAGTTATGTTATGTTTAAAAATATAGAGTAAATATATATATATATTTTTTTTGTTTTGAAAAAATTGACATACATGTCATTTATTTAAAATTTATAACATTATCAAAATTCATACTTAACGTATATATTTTTTAAGATTTTTTATAGTTGTTCCCAAAATTACTGTGTGATCAAATTAAATATGGATGGCTCGAAATTTCAGACGAAAATAAAAGACTCATCAGGATCTAGTGGAAATAACTTTGCCAAAAAAGCCTTCACTGGGGTTTTTCCACTGCAAAAATACTCAATGCTGGATATGTCTGAAATAAAATACGATTTAAATGGAGACAATTGTAAAAATGCTTATCCGTCACAGTCTTCAATCAATTCAAAAAATTCTGAAACTGCTTTACCGTCGACAAAAAATTTGAGAAAACGTTCGAAATCTTTAAAGAAAAAGCCACTGCAGCGAAAACAGGGAAATACTGTAGATTCTTCGCAACGGCGATCTAAAAGCAGTGAAGTGCCACCTCGTCGTACTACTTATGCTCCCCTACCACGTGTTGCAACTCTTCAGCACACAAATCCAAAAAAGCATATAGTAAGTTCAGGGGCTATAACCAAAACTACAGTGAAACCCATAAAATCACATAATGCGTCACTTAAATATGTTCCTAATATAAGGCCATTGAAAAATCCATTAATAGCGGAAATGTTTCCGGAAAAAGTTTCACCAAAGAATGTCCCTAAGAGTACGGGTGGTATGCGAAAATTACCCAGAAATGAAGATAAGGCGCGAAAATTCCCTAAAAATGTACATTTAATTCAAATAACAGATTTAAGTGACAAACGCGTTGATACTATCAAGTCTATTAAAAAATCTTTAAAAACTGTACAGCCTTCGCAAACTCCAGTAGCCAAAAAATTGAAATCGCTGCAGAAAACAAAAAAACCGTTGGAGCAATCACAAAAGTACTTAAAAGAAATGAGGTCGTCTAAGAATGCCGAAGAAAGCACAGTCAAGGTAAACAAATTGAGAATAACAGCCGGACAATCGCAGAGAAATGAAAATAATATACACTCACCCTCAATGAAAAGTATTAATTTAGAAGAAAGACAAATTATAAGGGTAGAAACGAAACCGAAAGATCTGAAGAAAATAGAACCAGTTCCAAGCAAGTCCGAAAAAAGTGTAGTAGCAGTGAAAATACAAAAAAAGTCCCGTGGTAAAAGGAAACTGGTCAGAAAAACATCTACTAGGGTTTCTATTAAAAACGCGCTACCATTACTTCTTCCACTAGGAAAGCTAAGATATGAAGAAAGTAATGATGATGAGCTGGTTGGTGAAGAAGATCGAACAAGTTTACCTTATACTATTGCTAAAAGCAAGGAATTCGCTGACGATACAAAAGTTAGAATACTCTTCGGTCACTATTACACGCAAGTACTACGTGCTTTCAATAAACGTAAAATTTTCACCATCTACGGCGAGTACTTTACATTACGTAAAGCCTTGCTTGATCGTGGTTGGCTGGAAAAACTGCTTCCAACCAGACTTCCTCATCTGCAAGCACTACCGGATGATAAGCTCATACTAAGTGCAAGACCTGGAAACGTTGAGGAGACTGTTGTAATGTCTAAGATTATCAATAGTTTTCCTGCATTTTTTGTTTGGCAACCGAAAGAAGTGAAAGATGTTTACGCTGAAGTTCTTCCAATTAGAAACCGAATTCGCAGAAGTAAAGAACTCGATTTCACAACAAAACTCGGTTTAATTGGCTGTGCTAGAAATCAGTTCTCTAGCCGTAAATCAGGCATGAGCTATCCACGATTTTATCGGCTAGATGGAGATACTGCAGATCGATCAGGTTTCATAAAGGATTATAGGCAAACGCAGTGCCGTTGCCTTATTTATTATTTGTGGAATTGTTTAGACTCAATTGAGTCATATGTCGATGCAGAAAACGGTATTGTTTCACCAAATATTTTGAAATTTGCTCTCAATTCTATTGAGAATCAACTGCATGCATTTAGGCAAAATGATGATGATTACGATACAGGCGAGGAGACAAGTTATGAGGATTGGAACGATTTCATAACAATGTCAATTAAAATCATGGATCAGAAGGCGAAGCTCAAAATGACCATTCAAGAATTGACCAGAACACTTCGCAAAGGCACCATTATACTCGATAAAATACTGAAATGGCATCCGGATTATAACTGGGATGGAGATCTCAATGTTTGGCTTTTGAAACCAGGTAACAAAAGTAGAGGTATTGGTATAGTTGTTAAGAAAAACTTGGATGAAATTCTCGATTACGCAGTTAAAAATGTGGATCGAAATTATGTTGTACAAAAGTATGTAGGTAAGTTGATCGAAAAACAACATAATTAATATATATGCTTATGTGATACATTTAATCACGCAGTATTATTTATTACACATATTATAATAATAATTTAATTTAGTATGAAAATCTGATTTGACTTTTATTTTAGAGCGTCCTCTGCTTATCTATAAGACCAAATTTGACGTCCGTGCATATATGCTGCAAACTATTGCTGATGATACTCTATCAATTTGGATATACAAGGACTGCTATTTGCGTTTCTGTTCCCAGGAGTATTCACTGACTAGTTTAAGGGCATCAATTCACTTAACAAATAACAGCGTTCAAAGGTTGTACAAAAATAGTAGAAATCGAGATCAACGTTTGCCAATGAAAAATATGTGGTCCCTAAAGGAGTTCAAAAACTATGTGAAATATGAATGTGCTGATTCTTTATTCTGGGAGAATACAATATTTGTTGGTTTTGCACAGAATTTAATAGCCGTAGTAATGGCTAGTTTTCAAAGTACAAAGCTTATTGCTAACTCCTTTGAGCTTTATGGATGTGATTTCATGTTGGACTCAGCAATGCATCCAATATTGATTGAAATAAATTCAACACCGGATATGACATCCTCTACGGCTGTTACAGCTGAAATATGTCCTAAAGTATTGGCTGATGTAATCAAAGTTGTAGTAGATCATCCAAGCAACCCATTAATAAACACTGGTGGTTTTGACTTGGTGTTCAAAGCTCCATGCAAAACTGAGAAGAAAGCAAGAAAAATTGAAAGTATAAAACTTCTTGAACCTACACAAGTACCATTTAATATTGACTCGTCATTTAATTCTAATTTTTCATTCGATGAACCACAAAGTTTTATGAAATTACCATAAAATTGTTCAAGATATTTTTCATTCGCCATATTTGATTTTCGAAACTGTTATGGACGAATTCTTTCTGATACACCAACCACCAACGAAAATGGTTGTGTATGGTAACACTCGTCTTCTCAAATGTGTTTTTTTTTGGATAAAGGTATAAGATTCTGATGTTTTTTAAAGTCTGTAAAATAAATAGACCTTACACCATTTCCTACATTAGAAAACAACTGGCTGAAATTTATAATTGTGTTACTCACATGGCGTAATGAAAATTTTAGGTTATAACTCAAAATTATAAAATTAATTTGTGTAGTATTGTTTTAAGTAAAACGTTTTTAAGTAAGACGTTCTAAAGTAAAACATTTATGATTAAAACGTTTTTAAGTAAAACGCTTTTAAGTAATTGTTAATAAAACAAAATAAAAGAAAAAAAATGTACATATTTAATTTTACTTAAAAGTCGAAGGAAGCTCTTTATTATATTGAATTTATTGTTGTGATTATGAAACCCTATTAATGCACTAAAAAATGTGTTCTTATATTTATAAAGAAACGAAATAATTAGATATTTTCAATATTATTATTAGTATATATTCAATAATTAAACATACGCAATTAAGACGATTATCCAAGACCATATCTGAGTATAAGTTTCAGTGTTTTCTCTTCCAAAGCCACTCCATAAGCTATTCCGTAATCCGTTTAATGGAGCAACAACTGTAAAATGAACTTTTACTTCACAATTTGTATAATATGCTGATATACACAACATCTAGTATATTGTTCCTTCTGATTTTTGTCTCGTTTGTCCACAGTCAGTACTGGAGCCGTGCAAGTCGTGCGCTATCGAGTTAATACAAAATAATTGAAGTTATTGGCTCTTAATATCGAACGATTTATTCAAACCTTCATTGACCAAGGTGAGTTCAAATAATTACCATGAATCATATGAAAAAGTGTTCGCACTTAATTGGTCACATATATGGTATGTTGGTATATCCAATATTGTTATTGTGCTAGCAAAATACTCTTCCAACACCAGTGCCAACATAGTTGTGTCATATTCATCCCACTATAGTAGATACATATATACTTTACAACGACTATGTGTGAAAAGTATCTATGTATCTGCAAACATTTCACGTGAATACTCTGCGCATATGTATAAATGTTACACTTAAAAACAATTTGCTTAACTACGTTCATTTAATTGACTACTCGGATATAATCTGATCCTTGTTGATGTCAATTTAATTAATAAAATGTGCGATAAAGTCTCTTTTCAATTTGCTCCATATGGTCAGAAGTAAAATGTTTTCGAGTTTTAAGAAGAGAAATAGGAAAATAAAAAATTAAATAAAATAAAAATATAAATGCAGGTTTTCTATTGTATTAAGAAAAAATATTATGGCATTAGTAATATTAAAAGGTATTTTTTTAATTAAAAACTTTTACGAACTCAAGAATCGTTCGGAATTGGCTATGAAACATGACAGTAAAAGTCACAATAAGGAAGAAGGAGCTCCAATTAGCAAATTTGTTAGTACTAAAAAACGATTAAATAAAAACTCTTGTTATAAATTTATAGAACCAACTGTATAATGATAACTATAAATAAACAACTACTGTATTCAACAAATGGCAGAAGAAGATTAGGAGCAAACAATCGAAATGCGGCAAGAATGATGGAACAACAACGCTCAAAGAAGTTGGAGAGCTAGACTAATACCTGACTCTAACGAAAAGTGGGAGACACAAATTACTATCTTACTCTGATGCTGACCGGACATGGATATTTTTTAAGTACTTGTACCGCATGGGAAAGGCATATCTTACTTAATTAGTTGACCATTACAGACGCGGATCGTCTTAGGCCGCGTCGAGCAGCCTCCGCCAGTCAGCCCGATTAGTTGCTTTCTAACGCCAGTTGGTAGTACCGAGAGCCCCCAAATCGTTGGTCAACTGGTCCTTCCACCGAAGATGCGGACGTCCTCTACCTGCTGGTGTTCCACCTGCTGATACCAAATCAAACACCTTTCTAGCCGAAGCACTTTCTTCCATTCGTACGACATGACCAAGCCAGCGTAGCTGCTGAATTTTTATACGCTTAATTATGTCAATGTCACGGTATAGCTCATAAAGCTCATCGTTCCATCTAATTCGATACTCGTCGCCAACGCGTAAGGGACCATAGATCTTCCAAAAAATGTTTCTCTTGAATGCTCCTAACGCCTTCTCATCACTGTTGGTAATTGTCCAAGCTTCTGCACCATACAGCAGAACAGATCTACCCTACTGCATTTATGGCGATGTAGTCTGTGACGACACACAGCACTCCTTCTTTTACTATAATAGGTGACTAATATTTAAAAAAGATGTAAATGCTTATATATTACCAATAAATATCGAAAGTATATTGGAAAAGATGATACAGAACCCAGAGAACTGACTAACGATAGAGTCATACGTGATTCAAGTCCTTAAAGCAAACAACAACAAACGAGAAGCAGAAACTAGGCTAATAAATAGTGAAGATACCAAAAAAATGCGGTGAAAAAGTGAAGGTAGCGACACAGATTAATAATGATCAAAAACGCATGGCTTGAAATGCTAACATAATAACCCTCTCCTTGAAGTAATGCGATAGTGGTTCCAGGGAGAATATAGTCCATATACTATATATTAATATGTTAAGGAGTCTGACACGTCATTCTAACGACGGTCGGTCTGACGATGCATAAAGCACTCCACTTCCTCTCAACAAAAAAATAAGAAAAAATATGGTAAGTTTGAGTGGCTGGTACTGATACATTTCGCATACTTTGCAAGTGAATTTCTTGTTTTTTTTTTTATTTAAATAAGTGTCTTAAAGACAGACAGAAAAGTGTGATTACTGCAACTAATATATATATATACTAACAAGTAAGTTTATAATTATTTATGTAATAAAAATAATATATTGTTGGGCTAAATTAAAAATATTATTTTAACTTAAATTAACATTTCATATTTGAAATGAGAAACAACTTTTTTTTAAACGTCTCATGAACCCTAATATCTTCTCTGACTGCTCGAGAGTGTGTTTTTTACATTTTTGAACCCCTTTTTAAAAAATGTAGCAGAGTTTCGAAAAATTGTTAAAATTACATTGAATTGTTAGAAATATATATAAAATGAGTTAAAACTTTACAGCAACAGGTCACCAGCGTATTTTCTAGGTCGCCAACTACTAGATGGAATCTAGTTTTTGGGTAATAAACAAAACAACGTTTTCTATTATTTAGTTCTATTCATTCTCTTTAACAACTTTCGCTTGCGACATATCAATTACGAGTAATAAAAATCTGAGTGCCAATTCTCAAAACCCTATGGGTCCATATCTCCTAGGAAAAAGTCACAAAATTTTTTCTCAAGATACGGGTCTTCTTATCTTATGAAAGCGGCACATAAAATTTCAGCCAAATCGGAGATCATGAGTTCAAAAAGGTGTCCGATTTGTAAAAGAATGACACGTATATAGTATTATTGTTAAAGAGTTCTATGAAAATAAATACAAATATATATATATATACCATCTTAGAATTCAGTTAGCCATGGAAAAAAGAAAACTTCAGAATTAACAGAAATAAGTTAACAACATTTTCAATCGTTTTACCTAAATATTTTGAAAATTGATAAGTAAAAGCTGTTTTTATTGTTTACAGATATATATGAAATTTCTCATATATGATTTCGATTTAGCTGAGAAAAAAAAATTTTGTCTATATTAGTTAAGAACTTAAATTTGAAATTATATATTTTGCAGTAAAGCTTTTTCAATACTCAGCATAATTTATAAAGTATGAAGATCCTTTTCACAAAAGGACAGAAAATTATTTATAGTGATGAGGACTCTACACAAATGGTAATACTATCAAACTCCATTTAATACATTATATTCGAGAAAACCTAATTAATATCGCTCTCGATTTCAGACGGAGACATGTAATGAAGAGGAGAAAGCGGGAACGTCTTACCGAACCAGAAACAGAGATATCAAGGTAAATTTTGACATATGTTTTATTTTAATTTGTAAAAGCAAGTATGAAAGTATATTCAATATATTCAAAAAAGATATGATAAATGGACACTATTGAAAACGTTTTAGGGTTCGTTACCTCACTATTAGCGATTTCCCTTGTTTAATATTAGTTTCAAAACATATTTCTTATTTTGGTTCACTATTGAATATAATTTGTTAGCAGGAATTACTAAGACACTTTAACTTTAAATAATATGCATTAAGTATACTATATTTACCATACAATAGACTATAAAAGAGACTATATATGTTACAATCAGAAATATATAAATACTCTGTCACTTAATATTTGATGACTACAAGTGAAAATTTTTTGTACTTTTAATAAATGTATTTCAGTACGCAGTTAGTTTCGAAGATCATTGGTATTCTGATAGCACGGACTGTAACAGTTCCTCGTGTTCAGAGGCAGACGGGGAGCGCAAGAGTGTTATGGTGAAAGCTTTTAAAAAGAAAATGGCTCATTTGGGAGATAGTTATTGTCCGATTCGGTGTCCCCTTTTTGGTTGTAAAGATTCATATTTTCCTGATGAACTTCTGAGTCATATATTTCAGAAGCACACCACAGATGATGCAATCGAAAGACATGGACTCACTGAAATCCACAACAAACAAAAGGTTTTGTTGTATTTTAAGGAAACTGACTTAACGGTATCAAGAAATGTATGCGTCGCATTTTTGTTGTATGACTCCATTTATAAAAAGGGAACAATGCTTCCGCCTTTTCGTTCATTTGGGAATGGTAACACATTTCTTCATTCGAGACATCTTAAACATAAATATCATGTTCCCATCATGGTAATGACTTCCTTAATGACATGGTCTGATCTACTTTCACCAAAATCACTCAAATCCAAATGTAAAGCAAATGAAAAATGTGATCAATCATTGTTATTGCTAGTTATATGGTTAACTGGTGGAATAATCAATAAACCTTTCAGTGTTACCACAACCCTCTTCAATAAAAGTATGTCGCACTCAAAAAGCACAATTCTAACGGTGGTACCCATACATGAAACTCAGAAGCCTTGTAATTTCTTGCGCAATACTTCCAATTACCTGTTATTGCCCAAAGGGGAATTGGATATACTCAGTAATAATGGTAGACATAAAGTCAACATTGAGTTAATACCGACTGAAGAAAATGATTAGTGCGAATCGTTATGAATCTTATTATAATTAACAATATTTATTAAATTAAATAAAAAGGAATTTTACGTGAAATGTAACCAATAAAGTTTTTAGCTTATGCTCTATGTATGATAAAATGAAACAGGTGTCTGAAAAGCCTTTATAGATCTGTATATCTAATTTGTTACTCTATTAACTTTATTTCGATGACTTGAGCAGGGGACAAAACGGATATTCATGATACAGGTAGTTCGAATTCGAAGTTGCAAAAGTTTTAACATAAGGTAATAGAAGGTCTTAGAGATATTAATATTTAATGTAGTGTGTTAGCAAACTTATATTCAGTAGCATAGCTCTTTCTTTGTAACAAAAGAGTCACATTATATAGTATTAGAAACTACTTCGATACGAGTACATTTTGGAGTCCCTAAGATTGTTATCATCGTTTAACTCAGCTACGTTACTATTTATTAAACTTGAGATATGTTGAATGACCTAAACGCACTTTATGTCAATGAGTAACCCAATGAGTAAACCGTCAATGAGAGAAAAAAGCGTACAAGAACATGAAGCATCATCAATAGACGAGGGTCCGGAATATTTGCAGATTGTTTGTTTTTTAAGTTTATTACTAATTTTCGATGTATAACTTCGAAAAGATTTAATTACTAACTCGGGAGTAATTGACCTATAAATTAAAGGTTAGATTTCTTCGTAACTTAAGAAAATATTCATGCGTCATATTTACCTATCATTGCTATTGAATCTATTAATTATGTTATTATGTATTATGTATATAATAATAGTTGAGTATATTCGTAGTTACCAAGAAATCACTGGTTCTAAACTCTCTGGTATATATAGTATGCAATAGAATATCCATAAAAAGTTCAAAAGCCATACATAAATATTTTATCGGAATCTTATCACTACTTAAAGCTGTCTGTGGAGTTCTACCTCTGATTAAGGTAGAATTAGCACACTTCAGTTTTGGACTGTACTTAATTTAAACTGAAGTGATTTTCAAAACTTTGATTGATTTGATATCTGACAACCAAAAATGGTACTTCTTGAAACCTGGAATGTTATAGAATTATCAGTGTTAATATGCATGAGCAGATGAATGCAAACTCAAGCGAACTATAATAACTGTATTCTTTAACTGAAACAGTTGGATCGTTGTTGGAATAGCACTTAGTTCTGAAGTGATTAGAATCATATTTTTGCCTATGCATTTTGGACTTATCTTCATGAAGTTATGTATATAGGAAAGAAAGTCATTGTAATCAGTTCACAACTTAGTCCTCAACTATATTCATTAATAGTATATATGGTATATTTATATATGTTTCTTATTCTACATTCTATTATATTAAATATAAATATTATTATTAAATATAAATCATTAAGGTATGGGAATACAGATTGAATCAGATAAGTTTATGGAGATAAATCTAAAGTGCTCAGACAAAAAAGAAGTTCTAATCAGTTCAAAACCTAGTTCTATTTCAATATCAATCCAACTGTTTCAATTAAAGCGGACATTTTAATTTTACAAACAAAGATTGTACCGTCATATAATATATATTCATAGATACGTGAACTCAGAAGTCTATTTTAAAAAGTCTGAGAATTATTAATCATTTGTTTTGAATAGAGTTTAATCTCAAGAAAGTCTAAAGGTTTCTTTATTATTATTTTACTAAAGTTATTTTAAAAATAAATAAATGTGTATAGATTTTGCCATTAGTTTTTCTAGAAAAAACATTATTGCAAGTATGAATTATTATATATACAGATGGTTTCTTTCTTTTTGAAGAAAAAAAAAATATGTTTTCCATTTTTACGAAAATGATTTTAAGTAATCGTTAAGAAAATATTCATATTAGGAATAAAATAGCTAACGATAAGTAAGTTTGAAAAGCAGATGTTAAGTTATCATATATCTAATAGGATACTTTCTCGGCAATCACCTAGTCTGGCTGAAAAAACAAATCGGATATTAATGGATATGTTTCAGTAAATATTAACCAAGTTTTATCGAATAATAACATTACTATATATTTAAAAAAAAAATATAATTATAAGTGTTGTGAAATAAATTATAGTTTACCATAATGTGTATAATAGAAAATGCTCCCATAAGTTAATTAATTAGTTATATTCTCATGCCAGAACTGGCATGGAGATGATGAGATCAAAAAGATATCCGAGTTGTAAAAGAATGACCTATATATTGTATATCTTGTAAATACAGTTCATATTGTTTGTAATGTTGATATTGTTTAAGTTGCTTATATTTAAAATATTATTATAAATATTGTATTTATTATAAATCTCAAAATCTCTTCGTAGGCTTGGAATCCTTAGTGATATGTCATAAAAATTTTTTCACTTCGTAAGTTTCATTTAATCAATTGTGTCTAGCTATAGTGAATGTTGTAAAGTACAAGTCTCCTGAAAAGTATTCTTCTCTCTCTCTCTACAGAATACTAGTCACCATTCTAAAGAAAGATAGACCTTAGTGCTGGGCGTCAAAATGGTTTTTATTTTCAAGCTGCTAAATCTACCCTAATCGTATTTAGAATACGTGTAAATCTTTTTGGGAGAAGGCTTTCTCACAACGCCCAATACTAATTTCATTAAAAACTACACAGCAGTTTTATATGAAATACTTATTAGTAACGGTGGTGTGACGATTGAGAGAAACCATGCGCCCATAATCTTGACATGTATTTAATCTTAGCGATTTATAAGTAAAAATCTTGTGACGTCATCTTTCAACCTGGGCGTCCTTTATTTAGTCATGTGAACCGCTATCACTATCACACAATGATCAGTCAAAATCGATCGCGAGCAGATTGACACTACCTCTTTTTAGACATACGATAGTTCTTGTTCCTCTGCCGCATATTATTATCTAGATTTGCGTTGGTATTGATGGATTTATCGCAATTGTCAGTTACTCCTTACATACACACCCAAATAGAATGTTTGGAAGATGATACAAGAGCCTCTGAAATTCTTGTGTTTTTTAGAGTAATGTGAAAGAGTAGTACCTCATCTCATTTTTATGTATTTTCACTGTTTTAGAATTTAATCTATGGATCACTATTTTAGTTATTAACTAATATAATAACAAACTATTTAAACCAAATGGTTGAATAAAATCACAGATTTTTGATAAATATTTATGAAAAAAATACAAGATAAATATTATGTTTCATAAAACACTTGTAAGTGAAATGAAAACAATGTGAAAGGTGCTTTTCTATCTTCTATGGATTAAAAGTCAATGTGTTTGTAATAATAGATATTCACGGTAGTCTCTTATACCGGCTTATGAGTAAAGGAGAGACAATATTAACTTCAACGATGAATAAGACTGGAGTCGGCACAGACTATACTCTGATCGCTTGCACTAAATGTGCCGTACTCGTATATACCTAATCCATAATAACAATGATAGCGAAATATGCATTAGTATGCGCTTTTGGTAGAGTTCCGAATATGTTATTGATAAGATAAAATTTTCATTGAGTTGAAGCTTTCAGGTATGCGTCATATACGCTGATAAGGTAAATGGTAGAGAAGTATAGGCAACATTATCAATTAGCTATCTTTTACAGTTCATGTAATAGCATTTAGGCTTTATATGTGAGAAGAAATATATTATAAACCAGGTTAGAGAGTACTTGCTACCGCATTGAATAGTGACTATAGCCGAACGTTTCTCGCATATAAGAAGTGAACTCAGAATCTCTCTCAGCTTTAACACATACAAATATTTGAACCAGAAACTGAGCAGTTACTGAAAGTCTATAATAGCAAGCACATAGTTTTCGATATCAGTTCGAATTGATCTTGCAAAGGAAGTGGTGTTATGATATCCGATGGTGTTGTAAAATTAAACTATATATTTTTCGTGTAAATTAGTGCGAGCAAATTGTGTTACACGAAAAACTTGTGAAATAATCTTAAATATTTTTATAACATTGTGAAGTGTTTGATTTGTGAAGTGCAACGAAAATGGCTAATTATTTCAAGACACAGATTTTTATTGTGGTTATCATGTTAGCACTTCTCTATAATGGATTTGTGGAGACCAAGCACGAAGGCCCTCGAAAATGTCCTGACTATTGCAAATGCTCTTTGTATAAAAACCGGAACTTGGCCAATTGCAGGTGAGTTAATTTTATTTTTTATTCAATTTTTATCATCTCTCACTTTTTATTATCTAAACCGATTTACAAAAAATTTTCTCAGAGATTTTGCTAAGTAATTTTTACCAATATTTTGAGCTTTGGCTTTCGAGTAGTTTTCCAAAATGTTTGTGCGATATCTACTGTGAGAGCAAATGAACTTATTTGATAAGCAGTTTACTCTAAATTAGATATAAACAAATTTGTGAAATAAAATAACAAATATCAAAATATGTATGTAACAATTACAAATATATAAAAATTAACCTGAAATTATATAGTTCATATACTGCTATAAAATAATCTATATTCAATAACTCAATTAACGATTTATCAAAATGCTTTCACAATATGTGGCAAAGAAAGTGAATGCATTTTAATGCCCTTCATACTGTTTTGATTGTTATATTAAATTTGTTTATGAGTTTGTTTAAATTTTTTTATTGCTTTTATTGATAAATTTCACCTATTAAAGATGTGGTAAAAATTTACTTTTTTACAAATCAAATTTTCACAGGGTTCCTAAATGCTTCCATTATATGCTAATAAAATCCTTCTGCAAGTAGTTCGCCTAATTACTTCTGTGCTTCATGTGACCCAGAGTCATTTGCTACGTAATTTTCTAGCAGCTTTTAAACCTAACTCATTCTAAGTTCTCCTCTAATGCTGCTTAAAGAATGTTACTACACTCGACAAGGTCCGCTTTTGCGTCTGTGAGCGTAAGTTGTAATCGGTCCGGATTGTCGAAACCTTATATCACTTCCTATTCGGTGTCATTTAATTGTTCTTATGCATGGGTTTGTACTCATTTACCATCTGAATATTATCATATATTAGTACATGATATGAATAGTTCTATTTAAGCCTCAAAGGTGTTATGTGATACTTTTTACTTTCCCGATTACTTTTGAGTGCTCAAAATCTACTTTGACGCTCTTGTCACTATTTAAGCCAACGCAATCAAATTGTTTCATATTTAGATATTTTATTTAATTTCCTTCAGGGCTTAACATTTTATTAATTTCGATCTGACAGCTATTAACCTTTTAAGCCAATTTATCGAATTCTGTGTTAAGTCTAACGAACTATCTTCACTCATTTTGTTCACAATTTGAAATCAGGAACTTATTATTAGCATATTCTAGAGCAATTAAATTCTGACTTAATTTTCAGTTCAAGAATATTATAAAGAACGTTTATAAGAACAAGTAATCTTGGTCAAATCTACTTTCAAATATTAAACTTTTTGTGAACTTGAAATGTCACTCAAACTAAACGTCATCCGATGTGACTCCCGATTGAGAGAGTTAAATGGCTATAAAAAAATTAATTTTTTGTATAATTACTGCAAATGGAGTTCTTTAGCAAGAAATCTAATATCAAGAACTTAAGGTTAGCATTTAAGATCTTTAGTGCTTGTTGAAACACAAGCCCTTTTTCACCTTCCTTATATTATAAGTAATCGCTTTCCGGTAGAATATCAGAGTGTTTTTTGAAAACTTTATAAATATGTGAGTAAAAATATATCAACCCTCATAGATTCTTGGTGATACTATTGGTTAGGGATATATATCATATAATTTTTTGAATTTTATTCATTACAAAACAATGTTTTATTATACGTAACTATATATAATGTGTAGTATGATGTAGGTATGATCGATATCAATCGAGCTCGATATATAAATGTTCTATTTATAATGGTTTCAGATATTACTACTCTGAGCCTTGCGTACATTTCTGTAAAGAGTATGATTGACTATTTACTTTTTTTTAAAAACTTAATTTACATAACTACATTTTTCAGAATCTGATTCTATGTCATTTATATATTAACCTCCTTGCAAAAAATCGTGTAAAGACTTATATATATTTAATTTGTGTAGATTTGTGTAATGTTTTGGAGGAAATATCGCAGTCCCAGAAAAGTAAATCTAGCACGAAACGAAATAATTTCAATCAGTCCTACCTGGTTGTTGGTATCTGTTTTTCAGTTCAATCAAGCCATTCGTATTTGAGAGTTACATTGAAAATAAAAATACGGACACATACTTTTCAGGAGTAGACTCTCGACTATAGACTACTATATTTTATAGCTGTAAAATGAACTGAACAATCGGATACAAGTTTTTAATACAGATATTTAAATAAAAAATGACACAGTAGTTACTTACATTCTCCTTTAAGAGAGTTTAATCAATATCTGCTTAGATTTAGATATAGTTGCAATATAAACTGCCGATAAAACAGAGGAATTTGTTAGAAAAATTTTATTTTTTAATGAATTTATTTCAAATTTTGGTATTTGAGTAGGTCGTATAAAAAAATATGAAAAAATGTCCATGATCGGCTTAGGTTCAAGTATAGTTCGCATATATACCGACAATTTGAAAATATGTTTTTTTGAAATGTATTTGATTATAATTTAGAGTTCGTTATAGAATATAATATTCAATAAAAACAATATCGACCGGTGAAAATGAGAATAAAGTTGTTCCACAAAGTTTTACTTTAGGTTCATATTATTTTATAAAATATTTTTAGTTGTCAATTTTTTTTATATAAATTTGCAATTTTATATATTTGGACTTAATGTTTTTTTTTTTGGAATATTAGAACTTATCTGTTTTTCTATTATTAACCAGAAAATAATACGCGGACAATTTTTTTTTTCATTATAAGATATTTTTGTTGTTATTTTGATTTGCTAACATATGTTTTCTTGATATAATAATAAATATGGGTTCAGTTACTACCAAAACAAAGATACCTTAAAGACTCTTTTACCATGCCAGTGTAAAGTCTATCTAAGCCTCAGCAAAGCTAAATTGAATATATTTTTATATTTTTACTTCTTCATTTGTTTTAAGATAATTAAATAACTATATCAACCTGGTTTGATTAATTAATAAATGTACAGCTTAAAAGAAGTTAATTTGACCAAAATAAAAAAAATTAAGTCAGCAACGCTTAATCTTTTCTTAAAACACACTGTGACCTATCTATTACTTTGTGACCTACCTATTACTTTGTATGTGTCTACCTGACACTACTGACCATGTAGTCTCAATATTTAGTATAACATTTACTGGTCTAAAAGGGAAGACGAAGAGAAACTAATCGGATCTTTATAATTTTGTTAGAAGAACTAAAGAGCTAAGCAAAGATAATGCAAGTAGCTATATCGGAAACAATACTTCAAACCTTTTCCATCTGATAATTTAAAGGGCATCACAGTAGGTAATATTAGCCTTCGATTGTATATATTAATGTTCGTACTAAAAATCCCAGTTTTATCGTAACCCAGTGTTTCCAAAACATATTTTATGGTAACCATACTTAAGGTTACGAAAAATTATAATGTTCTTCCTTCATAATATACGCAAGACGCATTCAGAAATGTAAGCACATTAGTAGAATATTAATCGTTTTTCGAATGACGGATTACGAACTGTATTCGTCCAATTTGTTAATTGGAAAGGTAAAATTTTCTCTTACTTATGCATAGCTTATTGGTTTGTTGATTTTAAAAAATGACAGATAGACAGGTACTAGACAAAAAAGGTAATCTTATCATTGTTTTCCAGAGTCATCTACTATGTCAATTGCACACTGTGGGCTTACTATCTTAATCTCATGTATATCAACTCTTTTATACTTTATACTATCGTTAGTAGTAACTTTGTTGTTTTTGTTACGATATTTTTGAACGTTCTATAGAAAAGATCTAGTATAGTACAAATAATAGAGTGTCTAACTCGTTAAAATAAATCGGGTTAGTTTGCATATCTGTCTTTTTAAATTTAAATTAATCATTTGCGTATTTGAACCAATCCACTAACACGTTGCTTAGAAGCTTCAACAGATCCAAGCTTATATTTTTCGTTCAAGAATGAGAATTATAGATTACTTTAGACAATCCTGAACCGAATTTAGATATATAGGCGATAAAAAATAACATTATTTTTAATGCTAACGTAACATTATGTTACGTTGATGACTTCAGCTGTCTGAGTTAAGGGCACGGCAATCTTTACAAAGACGGAACTCAATTGCTATTTGTTATTTAATTATACTATTTTTTGTTTTTTCTAATTTAATTAAATCGTTTAATATACTTAACGTGTATTGGACTGAAATACTTAGTGTTAATTATGTACTGTGACATATATTTAAGAGACCATGTCATTTATAAATCTGTCTATCCACTTGATATATTTTTTCTAGTAATGCCTAAAAATTATTATTTCCAATCATATTAGCAAAATATTTATTCTAGAATGACACATTTCCAAAATATAATTTACTCATACGAAATAGTTAACCTAACGCATTTATAGATAAGATAAATTTTATGTGCTAAACAAAACTTTTTAGCTATGCATTTACTTTATTTGATTAAATCAATTGAAGTGCTGCATATGAGACATCGCTCATACCCTACATATTGTTAGATTTGGCATAACATTTCAATATTTTTCCCAATTTTCATAAAATTAAATAATGTAGTTAGACTTTGAAATAATTAGATATATATAGTATATATAATATATATATTTGTTTGAGTCAAAATGAACATCTCCGTCGATATGTGCCTAAATTATATCTTATATTATCTTATCATATAATAATAAATCTTTATGCTAATTGTATTGTATATTGACATGTACTTTATATATAGTGTGATTTAATGTCGTAATGATATAGTCATCTATTTTTTTATAGAGAAGTTTTCTTAGTAAAGAAATAAGATTATATACAGATATTTTTCTTAATCAAGTAATTTTTTTACGCTGACCGTAGTATTGTTTCGGATATTGCCACATAATAAGCGTCACTGGTCTTAGAAATATTTAAAAGTTTAATAGTTTATATATAATTTTTGGACTGCAAGTTTTAGAAATCAAGCCTTCTATATAGAAATTAAGCCTTCTATAGATATCATTTTAAAATTGGTTGAAAGTAATAGCGACTGTTAGTTAGAATATAACTTTTTGACTCACACTCACATTATTTGTCATCTATAGTTTATATACTCTTTAAAAAAAAGAGTATTGTTTCAATAGTTTTGTTTAATAGTAAGTACATTTATCTCAAAATGTCTGTTAAAATTATTTTTTTGTTTATTGTATATCAATATCTTACTATGTCGTGAATATGTTTTGTTGACTTTTTTCAGTTGAGCTAAAAAAATATTTCTTAGTTAAATATAAAATATATTGGATAATACTTGACCTTTTCCTTTACGGAGAGGAGGTTTCAAAATGTCTAACACAGCGTCACTATCAATCCTCCTCATGTAACAGACCGGTTCTATCCTGGAACTTTATCAGGAATACTTCAGGACAGGGTCCCTATGTTCAAACGTACTTGTTAATACATCTAAACTATTCTTTTAATATTGAATTTTAATGTTATCAGTTATCACGTGCAACTTTAATTTAATGTCATTCAGCCTAATTTTATTGATATTTTAATATAGTCCACAAAATGAAGGCGGTTTACGTCATCGGGTTTGGCAGAGCAGCGTATAAATTTAACACAACAGTAAATTATAATCAATTTTTTTTGATCAACTCGTCGAGTTCAATTTATTAAATTAAATCCGTATGCCTTTTCGTCTGTTTCAGTTCGATATACTTACCCAGCTCTGGAGCTATTAAAATGAAATTTTGCACAAATGCTTTTCGGAAGTAGACCTTGATCGAATCGGCTGAAATCTGACTACTATATACAAGACTTACAATAAATATTACAACTGTGCTGTGGAAAAACTGATACGAGTAATGCAAGTCGTCATGCGACAAACTGTGAGATTGAAGAAATCCTAGGCATTAGTTCCACCAGCATATACGATTATAAAATATTGCACGATCATTTAGCCTTGAGAAAGGTTTATTCTCTTTGGATCCCCAATCATTTGACAAAATCTACATTTTTTAGTTTTCACTTATCGTCTTGAAATATCATTTTAATATTGGTCACGTTGTACTACAGTCCTAATACTATAACTTCCGTCTAACAATATTATTATTACTACCGGCTTTTATTTTCTTTAAAAATACTAAATACTTTCTATTACAACCTTTTTTAATTGGCATATTTTTACATTTTTTTTATAAAATTATGTACATATATAAAATTGAAATAAAATTATATAGCCGTGGTAATTGATAAGGATACGTAAATAAATAACTCATCAGATTAATACAGTTTTTAAGTTTAACATTAAAATTAGTACTAAAGGTTTTGTTAATATTTATTAAATATTTATAAGTAAGATCAAACTAATATTTACGGTAATTTGATCACATTTACTAAGATCCGTCTGTCCGGTTCTATACTTCTGAGTTTAAGTGGAAAAGTTTTAAAGTTGCTTAAACTTTTTTCCAAAACTTGTTCATTTAGACAGAAATGAAAACGGTATTCAATATTTAATATGAATAGTGTGATAATGTTTTGGATAAATACCGTGTTTAATACTCAAATCGAATAAATCACTTATAATTCATTTGCTTCCGTTATGCTCCTCATATGGTCCACATACGTAAGTCACTTGTCTTCTTTTCTATTTTTTCTATTTTGCTTAATTCCTTTATTTGTCATTGTCTATATTCTTGATAAGAAGTATCATGGCGAAAATAATTGAGTATTAACCAATAGGTAAGGTATATTGGCATGCCTACCAGTATGCCTGCACAAGTGGTACCATCCATAACTTTCTATCTATTTACTTATTACACATCTAAAGCCATACCTATGTTATTTGATTATGTTTTCAAGTCATTAATTATGAATTTCTCTCCGATATGTCTTAATGACCTTGTGGATCTCTTCTCATCATTTTGTTAATACTCTACAACACAATTCCAACACATTTGTTTTGTAAAATACTGAAGACAAAAGACAAGGTTATATATTATTGCGGAATAAAACTTTTTCCTTTTAGCAGGCTAAGAAGAACATCTATAACTAGAGTCCAGAGTAAATATTTATACAGATATATGGATGAATATAGATTATATTATATTATATATATATTATTAAAATGTAAAATAAGTTAAATGTTAAAATTGCTGTGAATATGTTATAATTTAATAATCGTAAATAAAAGAACTTACCTACTACTACTATAGATGAAAGGAATCAATGGAGTTAAGTGATACTAATTGAGGTAGAGTATATTAAAGAAAAATTTACAAAACGAAAGAAAACTAAACTAAATAACCTCAGTTATATATTTAATGTTGATTCATTAAAAGTTCTCTAAAGTAATGTGTAATTTTTAATTGATTACTTTTAAAAATTATTGGGGTTCTCGTTATCTCCAAACTACTGTAACACCTTTTTTTGTTTGTTCCTGAATTCTTCATTATGTTTTGAGAAAATACAACCCATTTCTAATTTACTAAAACATACTCGATTGTGAGCTGTTGAAATATGATGGACTACCAATTTAATAAAACATATTCGAGTATAAGATATATTATATATTATATCAAATATGATGTCACTCAAAGAACTGTTATCAAGGTTGTTTAAATTAGATTCTGTATTTCGTATTAAAAATATTTAATTAGACATAAAGATAACTTTTTTGTGTATTTTATCATGAATTTTAATTTATATCAATTTATCTTAATTTTTTTTATTAAACATAATAATATTTTTTTTAGTGGACGCAACTTAATCGATCCCAATGTTGAAATTCCGACCGTCGTTCAAATCTTAGACCTAAAGAACAACGACTTGACTACAATTGACAGCAATTGCTTCTCGGTAAGTGCTGATTTATTTTAATATTTTAAATATATGAATCTTGGTAACATGTCGGTTTTGTAGAACTTTAAGCACATAATACAACTTTGCTTGGGCCGAAACGCAATTTATTCAATTGATGTCGATGCTTTTCGGAAACTAATACTCTTAAACTCAATTGACCTCTCCTACAACCGCTTGGATGCTTTGGATCCGAACACTTTTAAATCAAATTTTTTGCTTTATTATATCGATTTGGAGGGAAATAAATTTACATCTTTGCCGAAAGGTCCTTTTATTATCAGTCAATCGGTTAGATCATTGAATCTACAGAACGCGCAATTGAGTCAAGTCAACAAGGAAATGTTCAGCAAGATGCCGCAATTAGAGCAGCTTAACTTGTCCGGAAATCTTCTAATCACCTTAAGTTTTGATATATTTACTGATGTAGAGAACTTAAAGTTTGTGAATCTAAGTTTTAATAATTGGATATGTGATGAAGGACTAAGTAATGCAATTAATAATATCCGTGATACCGGGACAACTGTAGAGATTTTGAATTGTAACATCATATCGCTGGATCGCGAAAGTGAGGAAGAGGTAACTGTTGAGCAAGATTTTGAATTTAGTCAACCTGAAGAAGAACCAAAGCAAAAAATGAAAAAATTTGAACGTATGGAAATGGAGCTTACAACAGAGTTTCCGATCTTAAATATTTCTGCTGATATGCCCGATTTTTGGTTGGAACTGGAAGACAAAAAATATAGCGAGGAAGAATTTAGTGAAGCTAATACTGATGATCTTTGCGTACAACTGTTGAGAAATCCAGACTGCAATGTTAGAATACCATTTATGTTTTGTGAATTGTATGGAACATACTTGGAGGCAAATCAACTGCGTGACATATACAATTTTGCAACTGAATCTTCTGTTCCTGCTTATAACACCTCCGATATTAACTATGCCTTCTTCTTTGGGACCGCTATAGGCATGATTGCAATTATATTGGTTTTGTCTTGTGCATTGCTTTTAGATAGAGCTAAACGCACAGAAAATAATGGTAGGTGTATATTTCATTCTTATTAATAATTTATTCTTTTTAAATTAAATGTATTTAAATATATTAAATATTTATATATATTTTTTATATTATTTATTGGGAAACTAGCAACTAACGAACACACTATTAGAATTTCCATACCTCAACAAGAGGAACCGAATAGACGCCCACAGCGTTTTACAGATCCACCACCATATCAAGAGTTACATTCACCACCTCGCAGACGTGAGCCAAGAACAGTTACTAGCTCTATCATACGCCATCATACAGCAGATGCACCTAGCAGTTTCCTTAGCCGTCTTTTAGGTCGTTCAGGTGGTCGCCAAGCTTATCGTGCTTTTAATCAAAATACCGCTACATTAATACGTCGTCTCAGCCGCAGTAATCTGTTTGTGAACCGTTCTATTTCCAACAATGCCAATGCCTCAACTCAACCACCAACTAGTACTGAGACTGCTGTTGCTCCACGTGATTCCTATTTCACACCCTTAGAGTCAGTGAGCTGTTTTGGATACGAAAGAGCTGAAACTCCTCCACCTACTTACGGTGATGCCGTTAATGATTCTGGAACAGAAAACATGAGTGATGTTACTACCGTAACCACCACTCAAGAAGACATCGTTGAATAACAAAAACTAACTTTTAATTAATTTATATAATAACTTTTTATATATTAATTTTTTACATAACCATTTTACTATACTTAACCATATTCAAGCAAAACATGAAAGATGTTTTTAGTTTAAGTTTAAATTTTAATATCTCATCGAAGTGACATGATAACATTTAGAATTTTTAAGGATACTGTTGGAATCAAATATAATCAACAAAAATTAACAAAATGCAGATGAAATCGAATAACGAAAAGTGATTTATTAATTAATATTATAATTATATGTGACTACTTATTTATAGCAATTATAGTATATAACTTTCTTATTGACGACTTTCTTATATCGCAACCGATTAATTTGGATATTATTTATATTAAGAAGCAAACAAATATATACATATATATGACTTATGAAAAATAAAGAGCCGTTTTTTTTATTTAACAATAAAAACTTAAGCATACACCACTCGTACATCATCCTTAAATTAATCTTCTTGATCAGATAATTACTTTTCAAAAAGTCAATTCGTTAGTACTATAATGTCAATTAGATTAGTGTAAGGTTAGTTCACATTAAAAAAACACACCTTCGGATCTGTTTGGGTCTGGTGTCTAATTATGTTGTTGTAAAAACTATAACAAAAGATTCAAAACTATTTTGATTGTTTAATAAAGCAGAAAAGATATGTTAAGAAAAGATTCCATCGGCAGCCCTACCAAAAGACTTCTAATATTATATCAGGCATTTGAAGAGGGCCAACTTAAATCGAGTTGTATGCACATTTTTGATATATACTATGTCCCATTTAACTGCTCCATACCGATATATTTTAATAAGAGTCTACATAGTGCTACAATGGCATGCTCCGATTTATCATTATAAATAAAAGTTGTTCTGAAAGTGCTCGCATAATACCTTAGTTCGCTAACTGATCCACTAACTGCTCTATGAGTTATCCCACTGAGTGGGAACATAGTAAAGAGAAATGTTAAATTTAGTTCACATCTCATTTAGAAGCTGATAGCAGCAAAAAAAGCGTCTTAAAAAATTGGACTAAACACAACGCATAGTAAGATATATTCTAACTCGATATAGTAAGCACACTAGAAAATGTATGTTTTTTCTTTTTCTCTGGTCGCTAGTCAGTTTTCGTAAAACATATTTACTCGTTTTTATTTAACTTTTGTTTAAGGAAATACAATCTGAGAGATATACTCAGTTTTAGAAATTTTTTAAAAGCCACAGTTTACCTAACAACAACAATTTCTATTTGAAAAATACTGGAAGTATCAGAAAACCTGTAATTCTAACTATTTACTTTTTACTTATCTTAAAGCTACCAGTATAATCGACTGCAAACTCTTGTTGAAATTAAAAACATTGGTTCTAACAGTTCCAAGCAGACTTAGGACAGTATTGTGTCCGTTTTAGTATTCCACTATTACTTATTTTTAAGGCTAAGAGCACGTAATTCCGCTGTTTATTTACTGGGGTCTACGCTGTACTCTGCACAATAAGTAGATTTGCTTAGAGGTAGCAACAATAATGAAGTAGCAGGAAACAATATTGATGTTTTAGCAGTGAGCTGGAGATTATTAAATTATACGAAAATATAATTACGACTTCTTACCGATTTTAACTAATAATAAAAAAACCTCAAAAACAAGTTCTAAAAAAATTACTTGGCAATGCAGCACCTTGTAAAGTGGTTGGAAAATAAGTTGAAGCTTTATATTTCTTGATAAAGATCATAATTTCGATTTTATTGAGATTAACACTACGGTTACATATATTATCCTATTCGTTCGAATGCACAGTTCATCTAGTTCAATCTGTAGAAGTCTTCTGATAGTTATTGAGTAAATACTATCGCATACATAGAGCTGAAATTTAAACAACTGGAGACTGCATTATTCATTTAATACAGTAGAAGTTGTCCTGTTTATAAATAATAATCTAAATATTTTCTTTAAAATCCATTATTTAATATTTCAGCAATCGCTAATACTAAATCAACTATTTACTCTTCCATTAAATTACACAATTAATGTACCGGCTTATAGGATTTTGCATTTGAAAAATAAATTACCAATAAATTAGAAGAAAAAGAAATTAAAAGCAAAAAAAAAATGGATTTATTATGGACATAACAAACGACAAACCTAATAAAAAACTAGACTATGTACTTATTTATAAATAAATTAAATCTTAAAGCAAAGATCAATTTTTTTTATCTATATAGATTTACTTCCACACCACCAACAATTCATATTTTCTATTTCAATATGCATTTATGGTAAATAAAATTAATGTATTTGATCTCTACTTAAATATAAGATTTAATTGGATGTGAAATAAAGTTATTTATGAATTTGAGAAAATTACTATTCTTTGAAACTATTCCGATAACGACTGTATATAAACTGATCACAAATTTTAGTAAGATCCAACGTGGATTATCAATAATAGGATAAGATCCTTTGAATAGACTAAAATTCATTGGAATCTTCTAAGTTTTAGGAAGAAAACGATTGCAAGCTCAAAAATTATTATAGTATCGTTTTAATAGTAGGGCATCTAATCCTAGTTTGTTACAAAAATAGCTTGAATTCAATTAATAGTGCTATATACTAAAATTGATTTATAACTCCATATAATAAATTAATTTAAGTAATTTAATAATTTAAATTAATTTAATATTATTAATTTAATATTATAATTTAATATTATTTATTTGAAATTGTTGCATAAACTTTTTTATTAAGACAATTGTGACTAATTTTTTTTTCATTTCTTAGATTATTAATATTAACTAGAGTGACTAAATTTATCAAATAAGTATCTTAAACTATTATAAAATTTCACAAAAACTCATCCGATATGCTTTTATTTTTAACAATATTTTAAGTTAAAATAAAACGTTACAATAATTTATTAAAAATATATGTAAATAAAGAAGGTTTTTTTTAAAACTTCTTAAATACTTATTTTCAATATTTATGTAATTTAATCAAATATTTATAATAAATTAAAATTTTAAGTCTGCTTATGCTTAAGATATATCACTTTAATTTGTTACATATCCGAAGTAATGTACATATATATTTAATCATACATACAATTGTTCTCATGTGTGAGTACATAATAGTTCACTCGTATGTATGTTTATATTACACAATATAATTCTCATTCATTTTAAATGCACACCACATGAAATACAATTGATGTGAGAAGTTAGAGTTGTATAATTTTAATATTTAGAAATACATTTAATGTTTATTATGAATTCGCCTTGTTTAAAAGATGTATTGTAACTTAAATTCCTAGAACCAAAATAGTCAGCAACTATCCTAAATATATTTATAATTTTAATATACAAACATCTTTTTCCCTTTTTTTTTATAAAGTTGTTATATTTGAAGATGTTTTATTTGACTTATATAAATTTTGATATAAAATTATGTAGTGATATGTTGCCAACTTTATCTCTTTTTAATATTGGCAATTTATATTCCATTTCTGAGATACTCTTATATGGAGTTGTGGAGTAACTTCTATGGACCTAATATATTCAGTTTCTTCAACAAATGCATTTGCCCAGATAAAAATTATAAATGAATATCGATTTTTTTTTATATGAAAAATACAAAACGTAATTTACAAAACCGATTAGTTGTAGTTATTATATTATTTTTATTAATAGCAACAGTTATTGTGGACTATACATAACCTTGAGAACAAATATTTACTGTTTTAACTACGAGTGCAACCGACTTTCATATTTAATTATTACATTCAAGAGTCTCTTATAATACTATAAGATTAAATTTAAATATTGTTAAAAATTCTTTCCATGTATTATTTTAAATAATTACCATATATTATTAACTTCCAAAAATACCTATTTATTAAGTGACCCAGGTAATGTTTTCCTAGCTAACCTATTAGTAATTGCCATCTACATTCAAATTCGATTACATATTTAATTCCTAATAGACATAAACAAAAAATCAAATTTAAAATTTTATCTATATTTTTATCTATTTTTATCTATATTTCCTGTAGTCCTGTTTACCTCCTGTAGTAAATTGGACCTCAAACTGTTAAATACCTTATGCTACATAAGGATAACAGTGACAATAAATAAAAAGTGAACTTATTAAATTAACAAAAAAATTAGTTATTAGTTAATTACTGTCTTTAAAATTTTCTCAGAACGTTTCCATAAAAATAAATAAATTGTTTAACTAAATTATAGATAATAAAATAATTATTTGATATGGCGTATTACATTCTTATGATAATTTTATTTCTCTTATATATATTTATATATATACATATTTCTTATATCTAAACCGAGTCAAAGTTTTGCGAACGTAAATGAATATCGTAGAAAATAAAAAAAAATATTAAATCATACACAATTTTGTTATTTTATAGAGTGAATTATATAGTGTCCTTTTTTTAAAAAAATAAAATTTTAAAAAATTAGAGCCAAGAAAATTATTTTAAAATTAAATTAATTAAAATTAAAATTAATCAATCTTTTGAAATTATTTTAGCATTTTAAATAATACATAAAACATTATATAACCATAACCATAATTTATTCCAGTCTTCAAATACTAGACTAAGGATTATTCTATCTCAGTACTATGTACTCTGTACCGACAACCTTTCAATAAAGTTCAATGTTTATATGAAAAAGTTTAAATAAAATTACAATAAATCAAGTTTTTTATAAGCCAGACAAATTTAATTAATAATTTTTAACATATAATTAATTTAATTAAATACTAATTTATAATTACTTTTGTGCAGCTTATCTAAACTAAATCTAATTCTTAAAAAAAACATTATTTATTAATTGAAAAACATTTTATTTCTAAAAATTTATTTAAAACAATGTTATTGCATTAACTTTTGTAAATTTTTAATCATCAATTAATCAAGAACAACATATGTTAAAATATTTATTTAATTAATTAATTTATTTATTTAATTATCTTTGATACACAAAAAACAATGACTAAAATTCTGTTTTAAGCAAAACTCTTCTAATTTTATTTCAAAACTTTTTCCAAATAAGTATTTACTACAATAAAATTAATTATTTCAATTAACACTACGAAAATGTGTAATTATTTTATTAATTTTAAATAAATTACTTTTAAGAATACTAAATAACTTTCAATGAATTTGCACAAAAATCTTTTAATATGAATGAAATACTTAATAAGATAATTAATAATTAAGATAATAAAATAATTCAAATTAATTAAGATATATATTCTCATTCTAGATACATTAGATTTTACTATGTCACGGCTTATCATGTATTAAAATAAGTTCGAAGAAGTTATTATTTTTAT